GCCCTGCTGTCGGTCCAGGGATGGGGCTCTGCAGAGTCACGGGGATGCTGCTGCAGAGGGGAAGCGAAGCACCAGAATGAAAATACAGCGTGCCTGTGGACATGGAGAAGGCGTGCAGGCGTTTTGTGAATGGCTGACTTGAGTGATAAAATAGGGGAAATGTGTGTGGCTCCCTATGGGCTTTGCAGAGGCTCAGTGATCAGGTCAGCTAACCTGGCTGTACGCTGTGAAGAAGTGGGACCCTCACTCTACCCTTCAACCCCACAATCCCTTATTGGGGTGATCATGCTCCAACCTCATCGAGGTTCCGACTCCATTCTGATATAGTAGAAGAAAATAAAACCAGAAGCATGGTTGGGTTTCCTTAGTTTCCTTTTTTTTTTGGTAGTTTCTAAATTCTTGATAAAATGCATAATTTGTGAAATCAGGAAAAAACTCAAGAAATACAATGTTCTGTATGTGTGTGTATATTGAAATGATAGTGATAGGCTAGGCAGATGCACAAGCAATCCACAGTGGTGGTTGTTAAGGGCTGACTTCGACTCAGAGCAGCACAAACCCTGCCGAGTCCTACACCACCCTCACAGTTGTTACTCTGACCCCGTTATTTCTCACTTCATAGGAGAAGAAATGGAAATGAGCAATGGACACAGTTAAAATTCTTATTAGAAATAGAAATAAAATATTTTGACAAAAAATTAAAGTATTGATGTTACCTAGTGTTCAAGGGATCTTGGGGAATTGAAATGTCTCATATACTGCTTTTGGAGTATAAATTAACAAATAGTATCTGATAAAGTTCAATACGTACTTCCCCTTCCTCTAGGAATGCCACTTCTAGATTTGTTTCCTAGAGAAACATCATTTATTTGTTCCGGAAAACTTGAAAAAAGTTGTTATTTGATATGTTGTTTATAATCATGAAAAAATCGTAATCCACCCAGATGTCCCAGAAAGCAAAATGATTAACCATTTGTATGTGCCTACACATGTGCATACATGCATCATGGAATATTATCTAGCAGTGAAAAATGCGATAGATCTATAAGTAGTGAAACTGAAATATCTCCACGCCATATTATAATATAAAAAGAACAAATTTCAAGCTCACATACCATATTTAACCATTTATATGGATAAACAGAAGACCGAACATTTTTCTGTTTGTGCATATATGCATGGGAGGCAGTCGTCTACAAGGGTCCACACCAAACGGGTAGCTTCGGTTACAGTAGAGAAGAGGCTGGCGCAGGGCCAGCGGTGCTTCGCTCTGTTGTACCGAGTGGCTGTGTCAGAGCCAGCGCAACAGCACCTGACTTCAGAAGAAGGAAAGCCGTGGGCCGGGTGGTGATGGAAAGGAGGTGGGCTTTTTCTGTATTGCATGGATTTTTAAAATATATAGCTATTTATGACATATCATTCCAGCTTATAACAACGCTACAAAGCAATAGAACCGTTCCCGTGGGCTCCCAAGGAAGTAAATCTTTAGGAGTGGTGGTTTCTAACTGCTGACTATGTGGTCAGCAGTCCAATGTGGAACCCACTATGCCACCAGGACTTGACCCTCACAATTTGGCCTCAAGGTTTCTCAACCGCAGTGAACATCTCACCTGCCACCACACCTCCATGGTGCTCCTGTGGTCTGGAGCACCATCTCCCTCCCTTCTCTTTGCCCCGCCCAGCCTGCAAGAATCCTCTGAGAATTTTCTCTGCCCACATCCCTCCAGGCTGGGTGATACTGCTCCCTCTCCTGCCTGCACCTGGAGCACTGTACACAAATCCCCGTGGAGCTGTGAGGGGTTTGTATAATAAGGATCTGTTAAATGGTTTCCTCCCTTATCAAGGGCTGGGAACTAATGTTAGCCCCCAAGGGTCTCTACTGTCCCCCACTGGATGTGGAACGTGACAGAGCAGCTGTTCCCCGTGCTGGTCCCCAGGAGACTTTGGTGGCATTCAGTAACCCTGAGACCCTGAGAGACCGCAGCTGTACTGTCCGACCTCAGTAACTCACTTCAGGATGTTTTCCATGGACCATTTCAGCGATCATTTCAGCCCAGATCGCTCCTTACATGGTTCAAAGCTTGCCCCCTTGTAGCTTATCTGAGAGACGGTGCCCGTGTTCTCTGCCCTGTATTGCACATGTTGTGGGTCACGTTTCTCAAGATACTTCACATCTAAAATATCTGATAGCACGTGTCCCTTTCCAAAACATCAACTTGATTTCAAGTGTAATTTCATTGAAAACTTTTGTCTTTAACCAAGTCATAGTCTACTCAGAATATTCCCCTAAAAGAATTACTCGCTCTGAGCTCTTCCTTTAGGCTACATATTTCTAAGAATCTTCTCTGGGTTGAAATTCACTGATTCTTGACCATTGCTGCTTTCACTTCACCATATTGATGCTGTCGTTTTCAACTAGCTTCCAAAGCCATAGGTGCCCACCCAATTGCTACGGAGTCGGTCTCGATCCATTGGACCCCACGCAGCGCTCCGAGGCTTTGTAAGGCCCACCTGGGGCACAAGGTCTGCACCCAGTGCTCCCCTACAGTGCCACGCTTGTCATTCAATTGTATAGCCTTCTTTTAAAAAAAGATTTTTTAAGCAAATTTGAAGTATGTAAAATTACAAGAGTAGAATATACTAAAAGTAATACTAAGTCCTCACCCTAGATTTTAAAATTAAAAATTGAGCAGAATTGCTGGTGGACTTGAAGTAATCTGGGATAGAGGTACTGCCATATGGCAGCTCCATTTTGATCAGAGACCCCTCTACCCCGACATCTTGGGCAGTGTCTAACCCATGTGTCTGTTCACTGCAGACAAGCATGTGCTGGAGGTTTTGTGGCTGGCTTTTCTATTTTAGCTCCAGCTTTTACAAAATAATTCAGAATTGTTTCACATCCTATTGGAGCCATCCCCGACGCAGTCATTCGCTAACTGGGGTAGTGTGGAGAGTCCGTGTGGACGGGACGTTGGATGTGGTGCAGCGTGCAGACCAAGCCCCCGTCACGGCGCCCTGCTGTCGGTCCAGGGATGGGGCTCTGCAGAGTCACGGGGATGCTGCTGCAGAGGGGAAGCGAAGCACCAGAATGAAAATACAGCGTGCCTCCTAAGGGTGTATTTCTTCTCAGAAAATTCACTGTGACTCGGGCACATCTTTCCTTATTGCAAGCCCTCGGACGCTCTGCCGTGTGATACCCACCCTCTTGTACTGGCAGGGGATGGGGTGGTTTCGTTTTTCAGAAATAAAACTTTATGTACCAAATCTGGTATTTTAAAACACATTTGAACCGAAAAGTTGGTTTTGGTCTTTAAAGTACAGAATGTGAGCATTGTTTACATCTATTCCTCTTTAACCAGCTTTGTAACTCCAAGCCCCTGTTTTACAGAATTGTAACAAAGGTTTCTAACTTTAGTGCTATATATTCACAGGGACAGTCAAGACAACCATTTCACAGCCCAGAATAGGGTGCTGGAATTGGAAAGACTCTGATAGTTTTACACTGGGGGACAGATGGCTAGAGAGGGCAGCAGACAGACCCGCTCAGGGACACGCAGATTTCAAGTGCATTTTTATATCTATGGTGGATGAGGGTGAATCAAAAGGTAACAGAATCAGAGAATCCTTTATCAAACAGATAGTTGTTCGCAGCGATGGCCTGCCACCATACGGACCTCCTCCTAGGTCTGTAACCCTGAAGGCAGCGCCTCCATCTCTCTAACCCTTCGCTGAAGAAACCCTCGCTTTCTGATGTACACCACCCACAACAGCAGTTGCAGCATCCTCAGGGACTCACGTGGTTTTGTTTAAGATGTTCTTTGAATTTAGGGAGCAAACGAAGACATTTGGGAGCTCCGGCTCGGGTAGGGCTGGAGCAGGGCTACAGAGTCACTTGAGCAATATTTCCCAACAATTGGCGCAGGCCAGCCCTTGCCACCCTAGACGGAGGAGCAGGAGCGTGGTTGGGAGGGAAAAGAAAATCCTCCACACGACGCCTGACCGTTTCTAGTCCTCTGAAAGTGACTTCCTGTGGTGTCTTGTGTGCTTTCAGAAAGTCTCTTGAGATCACACTGTTGCCAGTCCCTGAAGATGGTCTTACAGGTGGCCCGAAACCACTGTTTCAGTTGAACTGTTTCATAGGTTTTTTTGTTTCGAAGGCACCCTATCCAGACTAAAACACATGCGTTACGGAGAGAACTTGTCTGCAGCCACCCTCCAGTCACAGAGACGTATTTAAATACGTCATGTAATATTTCAGTCCATCGCGTGTAGCATAAGCCTGTGCGTTTATCTGCAGGAACCTTACCAGCAATGCTTATTTTAGATAACTCTGCTTTTTCCGATTGTATTCATTTCCATTTTCCAATATCCTTTCCGCTCGCTTTATTTCCTTATATATGTTATTGTTGTTTAACCATGAAAATAAGTTAAAGTTCAGATCCTTTGACATAGTTTAAAAGATAAAAATGGATCCATTCTTTTAAAAAAATGTGGGATTTTTCCTATTTAAGACTTTTTGGGATAAGAGGCTTGTGATTTGATTTTTTTCCCCCTGTGAGTTTCTTTTTGTTGTTTGTTTTTTTTATTCATTTTAATCGTTTCATTGAGAGCTCTTACAGATATCACATTCCATAGTTCAATCCCATCACGCAGTACTGTACAACCCCCGTGAGTTTCTGAAACAAACACTACATAAGCTCTGAATGAAGTTGTACCTCACCGGCTCACTCTTCTTTCCTTCTTCTCAAGATAACGCATATGGTCAAACTTTACGGCAACACCACGGCTGGGTCGTTCGAGGGGTTTTTGCGGTAAGATCTGTCTTCCTAATGTTCTGGCCACAAGGTGTAGGTGTGTGTGTGTGTGTGTGTGTGTGTGTGTGTGTGTGTGTGTTGGTTTGTCTGTTTTTAAGTAAAAGAGGCGAAATGTTGCTTCTTTCCTTGACTGTAGGCATCTGGTGTGTGCAGGGAGAAATTGACATCAACAAAAAGGTCTAGAGGAGAGCGTATGAAAGAGTGGCTTTGCCCTCCCTGAGTCCAGTGCCATATTGTAGAACTAGACAGAGGTAGACGGGGGGCCGGGAGCCCCAGTAGCTGCTGGAGAAGGGAACTAGTGGTGCATCCGAGCAAGCAGCTCCCTCTGCTGGCCTGGCATCCAGCCTGCTCATGCTGAGGTCGCAATGGAACTCTTTCTCCGAGGGACAATTAATTTGGGTGTTGCAGAAGCTAAAGCTAGCAATTGCTTCATGTCCAGTGGTTTTCCCTGTAAGGGTGTTTATGTTCCCGTGTTGGGGCTCCTCTAGGGGAACCCCCTCCTTAATAGCATATTGCACTAGGAGGAACCCAAGGGTCAAGTCCCTGGGACAAATCCGTAGGCGGCTTTGTATACTGACCCCCGTGCATCCGCAGCGGTATTGGGTAATCGTGAATCAGAGGCAGAGTCACTGTGAGTGCCGTGTAACTGAAAAGGCAGGGGGTGCCCTGGACACATGATAGACGGGAGCATTCTGTAGAAGGCCGAGGATCCTTTCGCTGCATCAAGTCAATGCCAACCCAGAGCGACCCTGCATGCATAGCCACTCCGTCACTGCGGTTCCTAATTTAAAGTATAGCTGGCACCACGTGCTAAAGAGTTGTTTCCATCATGATGTGTTAGGAGGTAAAGAGAATGAAAAGAATTTATAGTTCAAGAAATATCAGTGAACCCCAAATATTCTCAGAAGGCATGGAAATGGCTAGCTTCCTATCTGACTGGCCCTAGGACCGACTGGGGCTAAAACTGTTCACAGCCAACTTTAATGCGTATTTTATCATCATAATGACAGTTCTCATGTGGCTGTGGGACACCGGGTGGTTCATGTTCATAGGCCACCTCTGTTGGTCTTCAGGATGAACGCCCAGCATCTCACCGGCTCAGAGTTCACTGACTCTCAAGGTCCTTAAAGGGGCTATGGCAGAGCCCAGGCCTGGCCCCAGATCTTTTGTCTCCTGAGCTAGTGTTCATGCCTGCATCACAGGTCTCCGCAGTGAACACAGAGCAACTCTGACCCCGGCAGCGAGTTCCTTTGGCAGCGGAGGCCTCCCCAAACCAAACTCACTGCCATCAACTCGTAGCGACCCTTTCCGATGGAGAAGAACTCCCCCATGGGTTTCCGAGACTATAAGCCTTCACTGGCGTAGGAAGCCTCCTCTTTCTCCTTCGGAGTGGCTACCAGCCCAACTTGTCATTCATCCTGCCACCAGAGCCTTTAGGTTCATTGACACCCTGGGCATGTATGTCATCTTCTGAATGTTGATGTATTTAATGTGATATGTACTTCTCTGAAAAGCTATACCAAAAAGGCCCACTCCCTGTAACCCCGTAAGACAGGGTAGAACCACCCAGGAGTTTCTGAGACAGCACCTCTTTACACAAGTAGAAAGCCCCAGCTCTCTCCCACGGAGCAGCTGGAGGTTTCAAACCTCCGACCTTGCTTCGGCAGCCCAATGTGTAACCTCTCTGCCACAAATAAAATAGCTTTGTTTATTTCCATCTTCGACGAAAAGTTTCATTTTCTCAAAATCAGCTCCTAGAAGTAAGCATTGCAATAATTGCTGCAGAAACCACAACCACAACAGCTTCTAGTTGTGAGTACTTCTATGTACGAGACATGTGTCCCGTACTTTAGGTGCATTACCTTGTTAACCTCGTAACTCGGAGGTAGATCTTTTCTTTCTCCCCTTGATCCAAAAAGGAATCTGAGGCGCAAAGAGATGAGCTCGTACACACCAGGTTGTAGAGTCAGCACGTTTGGAAGACTCTTGTTAGCAGTGCCAATGACTTTCTTAAGGTTGCTGCTTTTTAAGAGAGTAGATTGTTGGGCGCTGGTCAGCACTCTTAGCAATGGAGGTACGTCTATAGTTAGACTGGCTGGGTCAGTGTTTCTCTGACAACCTGACTGGAGGGTTTTGTGAGTGCCCTACCCTGTGCCCATGGGCAGAGCCAACCTCACGTCAATGGTGCTAAGATGCTCCAGGAAAATGTGTTTTACCTTCAGAGAATTTGGCTTACTCGCTTGCCAAATAATGAGCTTCTGTCTTGAAGCAGCTGTCATCTCCTGAGTGGGCCCCTGGTCCAGGCTCTGCCTCCAGCTTCCTGTGACCCTTCAGGCCGACCCTCTCCCCATCAGTCAGACCGGAGTAGAGGGCGGCCTTTGGTTCCCAAGCGGACTTTGAGAATTGCATCGTCTTAGGCCCCACTCTGGAGAAACTTAAAAAAACAACAGCAAAAAACCCCCCAAATGTTATGTGTGTGTGTGTGTGTTTTACTTAAACACAAGAACACAAGTTGTTGGTTTTTTTAAATAACCAAAGCAGCCATCCTCCATCCCCCACTTCCCGGATGGGCTCATTTGCTAGGTCCTCAGCTTGCTCTTCCTTGACTTACCCCTGCATTCTGTAGTCTCCATCCTTCCTAAGGAAAAGTTCAAGGGAACTACACTATTTTTTAGTTCCTTTGTGTTTGAAAATATCCTTATTCTACCCATTTTCTAGAGTGGTGGTTTGGGTGGATGTAGAATTCTAGGTTCATAATAATTCACCCTAAGAATTTTAAAAGCATTACTCCATTACCTTTCCGTGTCCAGTGAAAAGATTTCTAAGATTCAGCATCCTTTCCTTTCCTGCTCCATCGTATATAAACTTCCTTACCCCTAACTCTAGATGCGTTTGTGATCTTTTCTTGATCCCCACTTCCTGTGGTCTCATGTGGAGCCCCTTTGGTCCGTGCCATCCACAGTTTAGAACTCGTGGTTCAAATCTGGAGTCCCACATCCTTCCACTCTGGGAGCTGCTTCACATCTTGTTGGTGAACAGTTGTCTCCCCTTTATTTTTTGTCCTTCCCATGAACGCCGACTGTTGTGTGAGTGCTTATTATGGGTTAGGTGTGGGCTAGACCCTTCCGACATTTCCCATGAATCCTCAGCAGACGGGATGTGACATTAGTTCCTGCATGCCAGTCAGTTAAACCAAGGTTCTTGGTATCTTAGCACCTCTCTCAGATCCCTCAAAAATAAACTAAGGCAGTTACAGGATCCCGATCCAGGTCAGTTTGAGCAAGCCTATACTTGAGCCACTGAATGATAACAGCAGCCATTCTCTTTGTGCAAAATAGGTAGACTGAGTCTCAGGGACTTTCAGAGTAGGAGGAAGCTCAGGAAAGCAGCTGGAAATGCTGATTCAAGAGTATCCACCCATGATGGAGAGATCCCAGCAGAGCCGACCGAGGGACTGCCAGGAAGCATGGTTTATAGCCACTGGGCAGTGACACTCTGCGCTAAAGGGTCCCTGTGAGGTGGAACCGACTGGACAGCAGAGTGGGAAAAGGGAACGGTTGGCCAGCAGAGGGACGTCCTGGGAGTGTAAGGAGCCCCAAGCCTCTTCCGTGAGGAAGTAGCACAGTGAGGCTGGAAAAGCACCCAGATGATGCTGAAACCAGATCCTAGCTCCGCGCTTGCTGTTTCTGTGACCATCTGCAAAATGGAGGTGAGGTATCACAGCACCTACTATGCAGGGCCCTTCCCAAGGTCCCTGGGAGTAAAGCAACGTGCAGTTATCAGCACACAGCAAACAACAAATGTTAGCTTCTTCCCTCTTAGTAGGCATCCAGGGGTGCCCTGGAAGGACCATCGTGCCGAGGGAACGAGAAGAGGCACAGAGCCACACAGCTGGAGAGATGGGGGAGACACAGCTGCCCGAGGAGCTGGCCATGTGGGGCAAAGGCTGTGACTGCCACTTGGTGACCCTAAGGGTTTGAGATGGTACTGTGACTCAGCAGGGAATTTTTCTAAAGATGGCCCAGGTGCCAGCCTCCAAGTTTTTATTTGGTGCTAGGCACATCATGTTAGGGAGTCCCAAAATTAGATGGATAGATTCCTATTTCTTTACCCTTTCTTTGTGTGTGTGTGTGTGTGTGTGTGTGTGTGTGTACATGCACGTGGGTGTGCACACAAAGAAATTGAGTGTGCATAAAAGACAATGCTGGTGCTTGTTCTCATGGGCAGTTCTCTTGCAGTTAGCTCTGAGGGCAGCACCATCCTATGAAGATTTTGTGGCTGCGTTGACCATAAAGGAAGGTGACCACCAGAAAGAAGCCTTCGGTATTGGGATGCAGAGGGACCTCAGCCTTTACCTCCCTGCCATGGAAAAGCAGCTGGCCATACTGGACACACTGTACGAGGTCCACGGACTGGAGTCTGATGAGGTGGTATGACGTCAGTGGGACAGCGCTGCCTCCTAACTGCAGGGAATAAAGTTTGCTAATGTGTTTGGTTGCCCTACTGCATTGCAGCAGCAGTTTCTACCCTCTCCAGCCCCTTACATTGGAGGATGGAGAGGAGGAGGCAGAACCCAGTGCTTTTATATATGATTTTTTTAATTGCATATATATTTTGTGTGTTTAAAGAACACGGTGCTATAGATTGCAGTTCAAAGGGCCAACTGGAAACCAAAATCAGAGAGCTAAGCTCTGCTCTGCGATTACAGACTTGAACAGCAAGTCAGAAGAAATTTGACGTTTGACAAATGATTTATTGGCCTTGTCTTGTGCTGTGTTTTGTTTTTAATGGGCCACCCAAACCCAAGCTGTAAATGAGCAAATTCTGTATCAATGAGTATTATTTATAATCAGTGTTGCAACCAACTTACACTGAAGACTTGGAGGCAGTTTAAGCCCCTTTGTGGAAGCTAGTGAAAAAGAGCCCGCTATTCCTTTTAAACTCCTCAGTGGACCCTCCCCCCCAGTTCTGTTGGCAAGGGGAGCCTGTGCAGTCAGGTGTGATGGGTATGGGTGTGAACCTGTGATTATAGAAGGCGGCCGAGACCGTGACAGGGAAGGCCATCCCTGTTTCCTGGTGGGACACGGACTCCCCAGAGATGTCTTAACACTGACCTGGGAGAGGGGGGCCAACCATCCGAGAGGACACACACCTAGTCCTGTCAGATGCTCCTCCACCCACGATCACCAAACTGGCCTTCAAGGGGACCGTTACCCCATTTCAAAAATAAGGGTTTGCGGGGCAGTGATTTGTTCCAGCATGCAGCCACTAAGTACAGGAGCCAGGAATGAAATACAGTGGATTCGAAGGGGGACAGAATTTCGGAGAAAGCCAGGGATATTTTCTTTGTCTCTTTTTAAAATACTTAGGTTTTTTTCCCCACTGTGGTCTGAGAGCCAGCTCTGCATCAAAGCCCTATGGAGGACTTCTCGAGGGAGCAGGCTCCCAGGGCCGTGGGCTCTGCCTCTGAACAGACTTCCCAGGTGATCCTTCAGAGGCAGGGTGGAAGAGCCATGGCCCGAGTCCCCAGTCTTCTGGCTGTCCTGTTGTTCTCGGGTTGTCTGGGACATAGAGGCGGTCAAGAGAAGGAGGCAGCCGCAGGGCCTTGGCAGCGGTTTCCCTTGACGTAGCTTGGCTCAGCGTCAGGGACCACACTTCTGAGTGCACTCTCTGCTGCAGCCTGGGCTAATCTCAGCCATAGAGCCCTGCAAACGAAGCACAGCTTTAAGGCAGATAGCTGTCTCATCCAATGACCTTGAAGAGCCAGTCTTGTGAAGAGTGAGCTGACCCTTTGTCCTCCCAGGCCGCTCACTGTGCCCCAAACCTCGGGCACCTTCCTCATTAGAAAGGCTGGCAGCAGTTCCCCCCAGGGAACGGTGAGTTCTTGAAGGGGTGCAGGTGACAGCCACCTGAACCTCTCTAGAGCCCGCTGTGGGGCTGTAGGTCCCAGGGGCACCGAGGGTCTTGATAGGGAGGAGTGAAGATTTGGTCTTTTATCTGTTTTTAAGCAAATAGGCCTTTGTTTGGGTCAAATTAACAAAGCACAGGTACTCTGCCCACATACAGACTTCTGGAAAACACTTCAACTGCGAATCCATCCACAGTCGTCTTAAGACTGGGGGCTGTGACGAGGCTATTGTTGCTGTCTTCCCCGAGCCATCAGCAGTGGGGAGGCCTGGGCGCTGTGGGCGTTTCTTGTGGAGCCGTCTAGAAGGGATGAAGATGCTCTCAGCATCATGGCATCTTCAGGGTTGGGAGCAGGTACTGGTCAGGCTTCCAAAGCACTCACGGTTCTATAGACTGTTGGTCCTTCTTCCCCCTACCCCGGCTGGACTCATGGACTCACCAAGCAAGGAGGTGGTCAATCTGAACATTCTCAGAGTGGTGGCCGCTGCCCTGCCCGGCCACGTCACAGCATGGGCACCTCTGGATAATTGGGAACCCGGGTCAGAATTCTCTGACCCGGCCAGATGAGTTCACATTTTCTTCTCCCTTTTCCCGGCCCAGGAGATGAGGGCCGTGGTTTCTGAATAGATGTCTTCCTCCCTAGAACACCCTTGTTTATCCAAGAGATGTAAAGCTCTTCAATACAAATAATTAGAGCAGGCAGCTAATACTCTCCCTTGCATCCCACGTGTCCCGAATGGAGCGTTCTCCCGGATCTCCGATCTCCGTTGCTCGGATCTTCCCTTTCTTCCGTGTGGCAGTGTGTGCTCATTTGCATTACTTTCTAAGAAGGAGGCAATGAGAAAGGAGAAACAACAGGGTTTTTCTTCATCCTCCTCCATGCTTTCTGAGACACCCAAGCTTGCTTTCACCTGGACAATGAGGAGGAGATGAGAAAGCCGCTATGTCCATCGTTAACCCCGACTCAGGGCACCTTTTCTAGAGACGCCTTTTGAGAACATCTCAAGGAAAGAGAGTAGTGTGTGGTCTCTGTGAGAAGAGGCCACCGTCACTTTGGGTGGTACCTGGCCACATGCTTTCACACGCGTCCTGTAGCAGAGGGCAGGCGGGCTCCGTGGGGGGCCTCTGAGAATGGAGGTTTCTTAGTCCCGGGGGCTGTCTTCCCTCTCGGATTATCACTTCGTATCTATATCCAGAGGGAGTGTGCTCAAGTTTATGCTCATAGGAGCTATGTCTTTTCTTTGAACTATAGGGGTAAAGTAAGAAGTTTCCCTCTGAGGACACTTAATCTGATGGTGAAAATCCTATGTACAAAGAAGTCTCTCACGAGGCAGTAGTGATAGCCAGGGGTTTTTGAGCAGTATATGAGAGTAAATCAAAACAGTACAGCTGCACAATCGTAGACATCTGTATTAAAGAGGAACATCAAAATGTGAAGCTATTGTTTCTTGACATATCTTCGTTCTAGGTCTACACACTTCTGAAGGTGAGATTCCCATCTCTCTAACACCTACAGTATTTCCCCAAGTGGGTGATAACTGCCTGCCCTGGGGTTGCTTCAAAAGCAGAGACCTCTGGTCTACCAGACAAGCACTCTTAATTGCCAGGGGAGGCAGGGAGTGGGGGAACTGAGTCATCATTTTTCTTTTTTTCTGAAAAGGGGGCAGTAGATCAGATAAGGTTGGAAATCCGTGGTCTAACTCTTCCCAGAAGGGAATTCTGTGGCCTTTAATTTACACCTTGTCAGAATGGCAGTTTTCGCCTCTCTGTGGAACTAGGATTGTATTCCTTTCGATGCTTCTTGGGTTTGGGGAGCAAACCGGCCCCTGACGGGGCAAGATCAGAGCTGTCCAGTGAACGGAGGAAGGTTTTGCAGTGAAATTTGCCTCGGGCAGCCCGTGCAGCTCGGAAAGAGTGAGCAGGTGCATTGTCCAGATAGGAAGCATGCCTCAGTGCAACCTTCTTGGCTTTCTCTCTCACGTGTGCAGCTTTTAAATTTTCTGTAAGCCTTTGAAGCTCCGTGATAAAGCTTTATGTCCTGAGAAAATCTGTCAAGCTTGCCACTTGGGGTTCCGAACCACCGTCGCCACAGTCGCAGAGCTTGCCCTCTGTCTTGGTTCACCCCAAGGCCTCCGTGGCCTCCTTTCAGGTCCTGGAGCCATCTGAAGCCCATTCTTGTGTGGAGCCCCAGGGCCGGAAGCCTGTTGCAAAGCTTCCATGGCCCGTTAGCAGCCCGGCCGTCAGCATCATTGGTGTTGGTTGGCACGTTTTTGAAAGGCACGCTCATGAGACTCCGACAGCGTGCTTCTCAGAGCACTGTCTGCAGCCCCCACTGACTGTACCGACGTGTGCGCATACACGTGGGGCCACCGCAGCAATACTTTCTGACTCAGCCCCACTCGGTGCTGTGAGGGAGGGAAACCGTTTACATTGTTCCCCATGAAATGACGGCGAGCTACAGGACGTCAGGTAGCGGATGTGCGTTTCTGAATGGCTCGCTGAGATCAGTTGCTCCCGAGTGGGTTTAGTTGTCAGCTGTAAAGCAGCCTAGCTCTCCCCCATTCACGGCTCACGACCCTTTTAAAAAATGACTTCGTGACTTTTTTTGAATTTATAGGGTTTTTTCTGTAGGTTGACAGTTTCTTAGCAAATACCTGTATTGGAAGCCATCTTTCTGTTCGCTGGGCTCGTGCCCATGTCCGAGGCCTGATGTGGGATGCTCTCCGTGGTCTCGTGTGGCCTGCCCACCAGCAGCCCGTGTCTGTCCCCGTCCGAGGTGCCTGGAACGCTGGGTAGAACTGTGCTCTGCTGCCTGTCCCGTTGTAAACTGCAGCGGCTCCCTCAGGGGTTTCATAGTAATGAGAAACATTTAAATCTCTCAGCCGTCTAGTCGTGTTAGGTTGTTAGGGGTCTGTTCAGTTCCCTAACTAAGCTGTTAGCTAGACCTGCACTGCAAACACGCCCGGTGCCCATCCCGTCTGGGCACAGTGGCCGTTTGCACCGTGATTCCTCATTGCCCTGCCACAGAAGGCAGAAGGCGCCCCAGAGCACGAGCGGACGGTCTGGAGAGGACCTCGGTACGGGTGGGCGCATGCACTGCTCTTTCTTTGCCGTTTCATCGAGCTCTGAGTTAAAAGGAACAAGCACACTGCTACTGTGGGATGTGAACCTTCTCTAGCCCTTGCTTACTCCCATTAGCCACTTCTTCCCAGTGAAGAACTTTCTCTTTCCAACTGGGCTGACCCGTCCCGCAGGTCATCAAACAACGTGGATACCTGAAAAAGGGACTGGGAATGAAGAGGGGCAAGAGACGCGAGAAATGGAGACAAGACAGTATTATTGAGCAGAAGGCAGAGTCTTAAATACCCAATGGTGGGCAGGTAACATTACATCATATGCTAATAAAGTGTAACGGGTAGTATCCAATAATCACGCAGCTACCAAATGTGGAAGAAATGGCAGGCATCAGTCCTCAAACAGGTCCGCATGCAAATGAGGTGCACTTGGATGCCTGGCGGAGGTGTCCAATGAGCATGGCGGCTGCCTGCCACCGAGCACCAATCATCACAAAGGCCAAGCAATTAAAAAAAACTCAGGCAGGACAATAGGCCAGGGAACATCCCGGAATGGGAAGCTTAAAGACAGCAGACGGCGCAGGCCATGGGCTGAGGGACGTGCAGACTCCCACACTGGGCGATGTGAGGACCAAAGCTTCGAGCTGGTTCATTCAGGTCCTGTCCCCTGCTGAGACTTGGTCCTTCTGCATTGTGCGTTGTGGAGGCACTGGGTCGCCATCCATAAGGCCTGCAGTTTGAACCCACCAGCTGCTCCATGCGAGAAAGATGAGACTGCCTGCCCCCCACAGAGACCCCAAAGGGGTGGGTCTACTCTGTTCTCTAGGGTCAGAAACAACTCCAAGGCCGCCAACTTGGGTTGGGAAAACCGTTAGAATCATCTGATTCTGATGCAGTACATTAGGGCTTGAGAGGCAGCTCGCCAGCAGGGGGCCGGACAGGTGTGAAGCTCCCGTGAGAACATAAGAAGTCCTGCGTGCTTTAACTGTGTATTTTAGCATGAGGGCAGTGTTTCCTCCTGACACCTATTCAGTAGAAACTAGAGCCGTCTCAGGCCACGGGCTTCTGGGTAGGTGTGTCTCTTGAGTGGAGGGAATGGGCCGGGGGTCACCAAAAGGGTGAGAACGATGAATCCTTTGCGCCCTAGAAGGCCAGTGAGCTAGGTTCATGCATGCTTAAGGGACGCTTCCCATGTGTTGTGGGAACTGCAGAAGAATGGCATTAAACAGCCCAACTACCTCATATGAACTGGCTGTGGACAATCTGTGTCAGATGAGAAATGTGTTCAGATAAATTGCAGCTGCTTAATAGACTGAGCAAAACAGTCTCTAGCCAAAGGTGAGTGTGTACATAGAGGAGTGTCCTCGGATTCCTTTCAGTCCACGCCCAGTGTCCTCTCAGACGCCTGTGGTTTCATATGTCCTTGCACTTTGAATATCTGTCTCAGTCTCCCGTTAACCTGGTCTTGTCTGCAGAATTTTGAATGAGCATCATAATGACGTTTGTAAGAAAGTTAAAACGACGAAAGTGTCGTGTGGCTTGTTGATCTCTTATTACAATGGACCTTGACTTAGAATATAATGTTGGGGCCTTTGGGGCCCAGCTGGTGAATGATAAGTTCATGTTTAGATTTGCATTGTTTCTCTGTACAAGTTCTTACTCTGTATCATGTGGGCCGGGGCACCGGGGAGGGCTTTCCTTTTTTGCAAAAATGTCTGAGGACATCTGTCAGATTTTATATTCGTTAGTTATAATAAACTTATTTTTAAAGTATTTTGTCGAATGCTTCTCTTTACAGTTTTTCTGTGTGTGTGTGCGCGCGCGCGCTGCTTTTGCTTACCTCATCATGCCAATAGTAAGTATTGTTTGTGGACTCGTTCTGTTTGCCAGGCACCATTCTGAGCCTTTTGCCAACATTAGCACATTGTTCCTCCAAATACACGCACCCCTCTGTTATCGAAGGCGAGGCCGTCAATACGAACGTCAGCCTTGTGTGAAAATGGGGGGGGGCTGACCTCATGACATCACTCCCGATTGCACCATCACTGAGAAACAGCACAGCCAGGCTGACACCTAACCCTCACAGCCAGTCTGACTCTTGTGTCCTTCCTGGATGCCATTGATGGGCAGAAGAGATTCCCGGGCGATTTCCTCTTCTACAGGAGAAATCTCCTGGCGAGAGTTCAGTGGGAGTAGGTGTGCCTCTCTGTAGGACAGGGGCTGTTGTCCTCCTGTCTCAGATGAGAAAGCAGACACGGGGACCCGAGCCCAGGGCACCTTAGCGAGTGAGTTCAGCAGGCTAAAAAATGTTCACATGCCGAGCCAGAGGACCATCTTGGTGCGTCAGAAACCCTCCAGGGGCCTGGGTGCTGCTTGGGCTGCAGAAAGCCGGGCTGCTTTCACAGGTGGTGTGTACCTTTTTGTCCTGGTATTCTGATTCTGTTCTCAGAAAAACCATGTTTGTGAAACAGTTCGTGGCATTTGCTAAGCATGATACGTTGACATAGCTGTCTGTCTGCTGAGTACTTTACATGGCCCAGAAGACACGTTGTGCCTGTGACTGATGCCAGAGCAGGCCGACCTTGTCAGTTTTCCTCCCGGAACACACTTGGTTGCTGTCTCAGTCAACGAGTGCTTCTGAAAGAAAGACCACAGGCGGTGCCTTCCTGAACAGAAACGGGGTTTCTCACCACGTAGGAGGCTGGGCGTCTGAACTCGGCCTCCTGTTAGAAGGCTTTGTCTGTCTGGTCTGTTGGCTCTGAGGAAAGGCCTTTCTTTCACACCTGTCCCTCAGGTCCTTGGTGATCCTCAGGTGACAGCATCTATCTTCTCCCACCCGTGCTTGCTTTTCTAATCTGAGAAGTGATCGCCTTAAACACGTGCACCCTGATGTGCTCTCCAGAACAAAGCTCCGTTCCCCAAAGGGGTCACATCCACAGGTAAGGGGTTCGAATTTACAACCCAAGGACACGGTTGGATGGGCCGATGGCGGAGTCCCAGGGTTGCCTCAGCAAGGTGCTTGCAGGCCGACTCCCCCGTTCCTCTACAATGACCACCCTGACGCTTTTCCCTGACCCTAGTGTGACTGAACTCTCTCTGCCGCAAGCACGTGTGCCATTGTTCCCCACTGCGAATGGGACAAACTAAAGAGAGGCCAGCATGGCAGACACTGCGCAGTCACCACCACTGCCGTCCTCGCAGCGCAGTGGGAGGGGCTGCGAGACCCAGGAGTCTCCCTGGGTGAGCTTCGCTGCCCTCCACCAAAGGCCAATATCATTTTGTGTCATTGCTGTTTTCCTTTCCGTTGTAGACATGAGTATTCCCAAGGTTTTCACATAAGGAGCATGGGGCGGGGGGCCGTGGGGGACTGTGGGTTTAGGCATTGGGCTGTGATCTGCAAGGTCTTCAGTTCAAATCGACTGAGAGAGAGAGAGATGAGGTTTTCAACTCCCATAAAGATGTACGGTCTCAGAAACCCCATTTGGCATCCTATAAGTCTGCCCAACTGGATGAAAGGGGTTGGATTGGTTTGGATCTGCTGCCCCCCTCTCCAGGGCAAGGTGGAACGATGTGCACCCAAAGACGCCATATGAAGGGAATCCAGCTCTGTCCCCCAGCATTGCCCTCTGGAGCCATGAAAAGACAGCGTCGTGGAGAAGGCCTGAGATGGCTCAGAAAGAACACGTTTGGAACCATGTCCTGATTCAGACTCCCCTCCAAAACAGCCCAGGTACAATGAATCCCAGCCACCTCTTTCACTCCTAAGCACCAACTACGTACCTCAATTTTACCCCATTACTTGGAGTTCAACCATAGAAACCCATGATTCCAAGGGAAATAGATGTGATGGGTGTATCCATCCTGTCATTTCTATTGTCGGTCACCCACCTGCCTCACTAAAGGGTGAACTTCCCCTTACTCCATTCAGTGTCTGGCCAGGCTTCCCTTGCGCAGAGTAGAAGTCCCCTACCTTGCTCAGGAGGTGGTTGTTACCTCCTGTAGTGCACCTTGCTTCTTTGAGGTCTGTAGGTCTTGTTAGTGGTTAGAAAAATACACACCTAAGCCCTCCTGTGTCTTGGCTACTCAAGAGGTTCTGTGAGTGACTGACCACAGCAAACCAAAATCGAAACTCCCTGCCATCGAGTTGGTGTGGATTCAGAGTGACCCTATAGGGCAGGGTGGAACTTGTAACTCTTCACAGGAGTAAAAAGCCCCACCTTTCTCCCAAGGAGCGGCTGGTGATTTCAAACTGCTGACCTTGCATTTAGCAGCCCAACGCGTAACCACTACACCACCAAGACTGGCTGACTGAGCAGAGGGTAACATTTTCTGTTTCTTTTACATTTTGGCATTTCAGGGGGTCAAATGTTTTGTTTCTAGAATGCTTGTGAATTTCAAATTGTGAAGCGTTCACAGGACCTGACTCAGGGTTCTGAGGTCTGTACAGTGTGTGTGTGTGTGTGTGTGGGGGTGGGGGGGGGGGTTGTCTTTAAAAAGCAAACAGAAACCATAGTGGTTGGGCCTCACCCCAGCCAATGTCTCAGATGGGGACTGTTGGGGAACAGGTAGTCCCCCAACTTACACAGGGCTCTTGTACAGTGATCCCATCATTGCCAGTTCTGACTGAAGTCAAATACTTCTGGGGGGTAAGTTTTCATTATTGACTTCTATTTCCCATATCCATAATCTCTGCATGTTTTGAATATGTATATCTCAAAGTGGAGCATCTGAAGATGACAAATTATGTACTGCAACCTCAGAGGGTAGCCGTCGAACAAAACCCTAGCACTTGTAAGGGCGGTTTGCCGTCCCAAATAGGTCATTTATGCAAATGCCTGCCAGAGATTAGTCCAGCTTTGGAACCCCAGAGCTACAAGTGTCGTCCTTGAAAACTTGTACTTTAGGGTCTTTTAGGATAAATATGGCCAGATCACAGAACCTCCATCTCCTAAAGCCTAAAAAAAATTGCTTTTAGAAGAATGTAAAAAAGGGATGAAGGGCAAAATTTAAAAAGAACATCGCTAACAATTGCAAGGGAAGAATCCCAACAAAAAACTTCAAAAGATAACAGCCAGAGATGGAGAGAGAGAGGGCCAACTGTGTGCACAGACTGAGATGAGCTCCTGTTGGGGACTTTGCAAAACTAGAAGCGCCATGCAGATAGCAGCTCTATGGGAAAAGTGGGTTGGAGAGCTGGTGCGGGGTGGGTAGCCCTTATCTTTTGTACTTCCTCTGAGTGGGGTCGCAGTG